TTTTATGAAGGGCTAATTTTTCCAATACTCAAAGAACACCTATTGAAAGATAAAGTATAGAAAGATGGGCAAAAGAAATGAACGGGGGGTTCTACACACACGAAAAAACAATTGGCTTTAACACATGTCAAATAATGTCCAAACTTACAATATAAGGAAAAACTTAAAATTGCTCTGAAATATTATTCACTGACCGTTTCAGCAGATATTAGTATTAGGGGAAAACAGGATCCCTTCTACAAATAAGGAATATAAATTAGTACAAGCTCTTTGGAGGAAATTTGTCAATTTCTATCAAAACTATGATTGGGTGTATCTTTTGACCCAACAATCCTACTTTTGGGAATTTTTCTGATATACATGTATAACTTACATAAAAATTATTCACCGTAGTCTTATTGATAATAACAAAACTTTGGAGACAACCTTTGCCCACCAGCACAAGGAAGGATTGGCTAAAGAAATTACAATACATCAATAAAATGGAATGTTATTGAGGAATCCAGCTGGCTCAGTCAGTAGGACATGTAACTCTTGATCTTAGGGTCAATGAGTTCGATCCCCATGTGGGGCATAGAGATTACTTAAAAAAAAATGTTAGGAAGTTGCAAAATAACATGAGGAAGTTCTTTAGGCTGTTTTGGAAGGATCTACAAAATATACTGTTCAGTGTAAAAGTCAAGGTGCATATCTGTATAGGTTTGTGAAAGCAACCAGATTTCACATTGTATTTATTAAATCAGGGAGAGATTTTATTTGACAAATATTCTAACTCCTGTATGGACTTTAAACATTTCTCTTTCCTTGACCTAGTCCATTTTCCTTTGACTTAGTCCTACAAAAATACTGTAGGCTGGGTGGCTTAAACAACAAACATTCATTTCTCACGGTTCTGGAGGCTAAGAGTTCAAGGTCAAGGTACCTTCCTGGTTGTTCCTGCCTTGTCTTCACATTGCACAAGAGTTGAGGGAGCTCTGGCGGGTCTATTTTATTATAAGGGCACTAATATTCATGAGGGCTCCACCTTTGTGACATAATCACCTCTCAAAGGCTCCACCAAATACATTCATTGGGGGCTAGGATTTCAATGTATGAATTTGTGGGGGAGACAAACATTCAGTCTACAGCGCTCCCCAAATAAGATAGTTTTCTATCATTAAAAAAATCACACCAAACTCAGCTTTTTTTAAAAAATAAAGGTTTCCATGTAAGCTTGGATTTGATACAAGTACCAGAGGGGTGTGGTGGGGCATTTATTTCCTGTAAAATCCCCTTTTATACCAATGTAGTGTAAGTTCAGCCTGTACGTGTTTGCCTCACATTTTTTTTCGATATGAGTAAGCCTTGAGGATGTAGAATTCCACAGTGTGCTCAATTGTGTTAAAAAAAAAAGGGGGTGGGGGGACAAGAATCTGTATATATAGGTAAGTACTTGCTTGCACATGAATATATTGTCTACGCTTGCAGTTGTCCTAACAAATTACCACAAATTTAGTGGCTTAAAATTACAGAAATTTCTTCTCTTCCAGTTCTGAAGGCCAGATGTCTGAAATAAGTTTCACTGAGCTGAAACCAAGCTGTCTGCAGGGCTTCATTCCCTCTGCAGACTCTGGGGGTTCTAGAATGGAGTGGCCTCACCTTTTCCAGCTTCTAGAGCTCATTCCTGGCATTCTTTGGCTCAAGACCCCTTCTTTTCAAAATCAGCAGTATAGCATCTTCAAGTCTCTCTCTGCTGCAGAGGCCAAATAACCTTCTGCGATCCCATCTCCCTCTGTCCCTGTCTTATATAACTTTTTCTTTTAAGTTTATTTATTTATTTTGAGAGAGAGAGAGAGAGTACGAGAGAGGTAGGAGCAGAGAGAGGGAAAGACCAGAATCTCAAGCAGGCTCCATGCTGCCGGCAGAGAGCCTGATCGATGCAGGGCTCAAACTCAGGAATCCTGTGAGATCATGACCTGAGCTGAAGTCAAAAGTCTGACACTTAACTGAGCCACCCAGGTTGCCCCTGTGTCTGTCTTACAAAGACCCTTGGGATTGCATCTAGGGCCCAAACCACATAATCCAGGATAATCTCATCTCAAAATGTGCTGAACAGCATATGATCAAGAAGGGAAGTTGGAATAATAATAATAGTAATAAGTGAAGAAGTTGTCAGCCCTAGACTGACACAGCTCTATACTAGTAAATTAAAACTCTTTGGATTCCCACAAAACGATAGTTGAGACTCATCAAATTGATTTCACAAGTCACAAATGGGCCACGATTTATTTAACCAACACAGTCTTGAGATCGTAAGTTCAAGAGAGGAAACCTTGGCTATTTTGTTCACCACAGCATCCTTAGAGCTCTGACGTTGACAGATATGAAGAAGGCTCTCAATAAAGAGTTGATAAGAAAGCCTGTTACATAACAATCTTAAAGCTGGAGGGAACTGAGAAATTATCCAGTGCAGGGCATTACAAAGGGTAGTAACTAGCACCCTGATTTAGGCGATTCACATTATGTCATTTGCCCAATGAGTGAGTGGCAAGGGTGACAACAGAACTTTTTTTTTTTTAACATTTCCTCGTACATTCAGATCTTCCTCTACTTACAATGGAGCTACCTCTCAATAAACCCATTGTAAGTTGAAAATATAGTAGGGTGGGGGCGCCTGGGTGGCTCAGTCGGTTAGGTGTCCGACTCTAGATTTCAGCGCAGGTTGTGATCTCGAGGTCATGAGATTGAGATGCTCACTGAGCCTGGAGCCTGCTTGGGGTTCTCTCCCTCCCTCTCTCTCTCTGCCCCTCCCCTGCTCGCACTCTCTCTCAAAATAAATAAACATTTAAAAAAAAAATCGTAGGTTGAAAATGCGTTTAATAAACCTAAACACATCGAACATCAGAGCTTAGTGTAGCTTCACCTTAAATGTGTTCAGAACACTTACGCTAGCCCACGGTTGGACAAAATCATCTAATACAGAGCCTATTTTATAAGGAAGTGTTGGATATCTCTTTAAATACTGTACTGAAAGTGAAAAACAGCCTGGTCCTATGGGTTGCAATTGTTGTTAAGTGTGTGGGTTGTTTATTCTGATAGCATGGCTGATTGGGAACTACAGCTTGCTGCTACCCAGCATCATGAGGGAAGACCAAACCGGATATCGCTAGCTCGGTGTTGACCTTAAAAATAAAATAAAAACTGCCAGTTGTTTTACTGGCAAAATTGGGCTTATTTAAGAATAAAAGAGGGGCACCTGGGTGGCGCAGTCGGTTAAGCGTCCGACTTCAGCCAGGTCACGATCTCGCGGTCCGTGAGTTCGAGCCCCGCGTCGGGCTCTGGGCTGGTGGCTCGGAGCCTGGAGCCTGTTTCCGATTCTGTGTCTCCCTCTCTCTCTGCCCCTTCCCCGTTCATGCTCTGTCTCTCTCTGTCCCAAAAATTAAAAAAAATAAAAAAATAAAAAAAACGTTGAAAAAAAAGAAAAAAAAATTTAAAAAAA